TTGACAAGGATTTGGGTCTCTTTTGAAGCTGCTTTGGATTTGGGTGTGTCCTTTGGTTGGTGTTGAAAGGAAGCCAAAAGGACACCCAGCATGTTTGTTGGGTTCCCCAATTTTTCTTACACATCCGTGTAAGGGTTCACTAGTTGTGGGCCATGATCAACACTGATTGCCTAATAATGCGGTGTTTAGATGGATCTTCAAACACAAATGGCATGGAGACCATGCACGGGTTTCTTAATGATCGATGTTACACAAAGTTCAACTGGCCTAGTATGGTGCGTAGGTTGCGCCGCGCCTAGTGGCCAACCCCGGGAAGAGAGTTGGATTGTGTTGTTGCTTCGGCTTCCCTCACCAGTTTCCATTTGAAGTCATGGCCCTAAAAGGCGATCGCCTTTCGTTAGCAGCAAACGAGTTTACAGTGACACCTTTTTGTTTTTTTGGGGGGGGTCCCGTACGTTGAACATCAAAGACCCCGCTGCCAAGGATATTCAGGCGTTAGTTCTTTCTGCTTTGGAGTTTTAGCGGCTTATGGCCGAACCCCGTTATATCAGGCGGTAAAGACATTTGGCTTTATGATTTAGCCACCAGTTCCTGCTTTGGAGTCTTAGTGACAACCCCCTCGCATTGTTTACCCTCAGTCCAAAGCCGGCCTGACCTTTTGGTTCAACGGGTCTCAATGGCCGGCCCAAGGTCCAAGGCGGAAGCCTCCGGGTTCCGGGTTCCGAGTTCCGAGTTCCGAGTTCCTCGAAGGCTTGGAGCTGCAGCTGGGATCTCGCGAGGCCGTGGACAGGCGGAGCCGAGGGGAGCCAAGCGGAGCGGGGAGTTTTGCTCTGGGCGTGCTTTGTTTTTGAATTTATTTCGTGTTGTTGTTTTGTTTCTTAATTATTATTTTCCGGCCTGGAGGGCGGTGTTGGCATGTTGTTATTTTCTTCTTCTGTTTTTCTTTTCCGGCCTGGAGGGCGGTGTTGGCTTAATTATTGTGTTGTTTTTTCCCGGCCTGGAGGGCGGTGTTGGCGCTTTATTATTATTTTGTTTGCTTTTCCGGCCTGGAGGGCGGTGTTGGACCTTTTTTTTCCCGGCCTGGAGGGCGGTATTGGAGCTTGTTCGTTCTTTTTTTTTTCCAGGGTTCAGTTTTTGAATGGTCGTTAATTAGGAGGAACTCCTGTGCAAGCTTTTTTGGTTCACTGCCCAAGACCCCCCACAAAACCCATTTTAGGGGCTCGACTAGCTGGCTTCATGACCTAAGATGAGCTTTGGTGACAATTACTTGTAGTCTATGATTCATTTGGGAGGGACATGAGAAGATTTATGTTATTTCCGGCTGAAACTCAAATGATGGAGGGTTTTGATAGTCTTGGGCACCTTCCTGGTGGTAATATTGTCGAACCCCCCCCCCGACATGGTGATGTTCCCATTCATTTCCCCTGTCAAACCAACTAATCTGCAACACCTTGGCAAACCTGGAGAATCCGATATAACCATGATCCACATCTGTTTGCGTAGGACGGTGTCATTCCTTGAAGTACCCTTCCCAGCACCTGGCATAAGCAGTGTGAGAGATGATCCATTTCGGCCTGTCAGGTGCCACGTCTGATAAGGCTTGCTCCCAGCCTGAAACGTTGGCTTGCCAAGGCCCAAGGCCCACCTGGGCGTTCTCGGAGCAAACCTGACTCCAGGCTTTAGGGTGTGCCCAGTCATTTGCTTAAACAGCCGGTTTCGGGGTTTCCTTTAAAAGGGAACCAAGGAGGTTGTTTCAAAGGCTTGGCACGATACTTGCCCGCCTCTGTGTTTGTTTGTCCTTAATGAGGTTGTACGCCCCGTAGCGGGGGATAGTCAGAAAGCAAAGAAAACAAACAAGCATTTGGGGGTTTCAACCATGACTATAAGTTGTAAGGCAACCAGTCCCAGTTTCCCAGTTCTAACCTGCTTAATTACCTGCTTTCCAAACGGTTTAAGAGATCCAAGCAAGTATTAGACCACACACGTAGGGTTTATGCTGTTCCGGGCCCATTCTTTTCTGACTTGTTTCTGATAGTCACCCGTTCTTTGAGCCTACCCTACAAACCTAATTAATCCTCAGCTCTAAGACTACATTGACTACCACCCCAGAATATACAGGTTATATAAGGGTTAGGAAAGGATTATATAAGAGTTATACGAGGGCACCTCATGGCTGCTGCAGAAACCAGGCAATTCTGGAGCTGCAGCATGGCAGCATGTGTTTCATCCGGGTTCGCTGCTATCAGTTTTGACGTTGAAACTTGTGAACATCAACGCTTGGTTTGCGCCGGTATCTTTGTTTAAGGTGAACCACAAAGCTTTGCTTTTTGGGCAGCCAGTTTGGTTCGCGGCTTTGATCATGCCGCGTTGGAGGGACCGCCACATCCCCCGTTTTGGGGATAGTGAGTCCCAAAACGCGCGGTTTGGGCGTAGTAGATTTGACTGGGCGATTTGGGTCGCACGTCACCTGGTATGCTCGTGAAAAAGATGAATCATACGACTACCCCCAGTTTGGGGGTAGTTGGGGGCGGTAGCGCGCGGATAGTGTGCGGAAGTTCCGGAGTCGGTGTGGGTGGCAACAGCCCCAAAATTGTTTTTCGAATACCGGGACAATTTACCGCAAAAGTTCACCACTTTTAGCCACGAGGTAGACGGGCACCGGGCTAAGCCGTTCTGAAGAACTGTGCTGGTAGGGACTCACCATTCTAGGGGCCACGCAGCTGCAGGCAAATAATTGCAATTCCCCCTGCCCTTGTCGTTTCCTCCAGGTTTGTTCCCAGACTCACACCCCAAACATGGTCCATGCCCCCCCCCCCACAAAAAAAAAAAACACGGGTTTCGACGACCCGCAGTCCACCCAAAGCCGCGGCGACTGATCCAGGCACGGGCCCATGAGCCCGGCCCGCTCCGTGCGGTCCCGCGCCGCCACGGCGCGCCCGGCGCGGCCCCGGCTGCCGCCGCCGGGGGCCCCAGGGCAAAACGGCCATGCGGGGCGTTTTGGGTTGAAGCAGAAGCCGGTGGACCATTTTCAGCCCATGTCTGTGGGTCAAAAAAAAGTAGGTCACCCCGGTACCCTGAATGGGAACCCTGGGAAACGGACGAAGACCTGCGGTCCGTATGGTGGAATTTTCAGCCATGCGCATTTTGGAGCCATGTTCTTTGTGTTACCCTCCCCCAGGCGATTTCATGGAAGCCCCCGAACGGACCCCTTTGAACGACTTGGTTCTCATGGCTGGTGGTGGTTTTCAAAACGATTGAGTTGGCCACGGTTCCCCCCTGGGTTGAATGTCCCCTGCGGGTGCGCAAGAAGCTCAGATTCCAAAGAGAGTTGCCCCCAAGATTTACCCTAGTGGCATTGGTAGATGCCGTTGGTTTGGACCTTGCGCTAGCAGGCTCGGGAGCTGTCTCCCTATGTTTTCCCCATTGATTTTTGGCGATTTTTGGCATCACCTTTGGGACATTTCATTGTTGGCGGGGTGTTGTGCATGCTAGCAATACTGGGGGTCGGGTCGCGTTCGATATGTGCCGCAATCTAGGCTATGACCTTTTGGAAACGCGCAACTGGAGTCTTATTTGTCTTTTGCCTTCAAGCAACCCCCCCGTCCCCGGGAAAGAGCAAAACGAGAAAGTGTCCTCTACATGAACGGCCCTGTGAGGCTCCGGGCGTCCCACCCAGGCAGAAGTATGTCCTCCTTTGAAAGAGATCTTGTGGCAGCGGCCCCAGAAATCCCCGCCCAAGGGGTCGCGTAAAGGAGCGGCAAAGGACTTTGCATTGGGAGTAGACTTTCGTCAAGAGATCTTTTGTCGCCCTTTTTGGCATTGGACTTAGTTGCTTGAGTCTGCGAGGTATCCCGAATGACTTGGCTTTCCCAGCTATGTTTTCCAAGCACTTTTTGATTGCCCCCAGAATCATGCCAGAAGAATAACGTCGGGCCTGTTGCGTTAGAATCACCGTTCAAAAGCATTGTAAGCGTACGTAGTGCAAATGAGTCCCTTTCCTTTGGACGCTGGAGTTGCAATTGACGCTCTGTTCGGACTGCGGAGCTTTCCGAGATTTGACACGAGGATCGACTTTGCAGCGCTGCGGGGGTTCGTGTGTGACACGCAGGCGAGGTTCGGATTCGCAGGGAGCGTTTCCGTGTGCGGAGGTTCCGAAGGTGGCTGGAACTCCTACCAAGAAGAGGGAGAGGGAATAAAGGATGCATGGTTCTTCAAGGGTTGCTCTCGGTTGCCTTGCATTTGGAAAGCACTCCCAAGTGGAGGGCTTATTTTGGAAACCGGAAGGAGCTGAAAAGCGCTCGAGCATGTAGATTTATGAATGGGGCTCTGGGCCTTCGCTTGGGGCTTGGCTCAGACGCAGCTCACGTTCGCAGCTGGATATGGGAAGGTCACGGCAGCGAAGAACAAGTTCCTTTTTTTTTTTCCGACTAACCCATTGAGACCCACATACATTGTGATACATGTACACATCCACACACACATATATTAATGGATTCGTCTTGATCCGCTTCTTTTTGGTTGCCGTGGCCACAACGACTCTCGGCGTCAGGTTCGGGAGAACACCGCGGCCGTGCTGCGGGCGGTGCTGCAAAGGCGGCTTTCGGGGAAGTGGGGGGGGGGTTGGAACCAACAGCTTGCACTGGCAAGACGTTTTGAGCCATCTCTGTCAACACGTGTTTTTGCACTGACACGATGCATTTTGTTGATGGGCAACTCCGCCAACGTGCGCCGTGGGATTTTCTCCAGCCCTCGAGGCTTGGAAGACTTAAGTTTGGTGAAGGTTGGGCAGCGGGTGTGAGAGGCGCCGCTGTGAAGTTGGAAGAGAAGGGCGGGGTCTGTGTCGAGTTGTTCTGGCAAACCATTGGCTGCTGCCTTTCTTTTTTCATCACTTTGTTGGAGTGGGTTTCCCTTCAAAAAAGCAGTCGGCGCTCAAGGGATTTGTCTATTGCTCCAAAGAAGATGCGACTCAACTTCTGAATGTTCAGCTCTCAGATGACCAAGCCTCAAGTTGGCAGGCTGCTTCGGTATGTGGGCTGCCATTGCACCCTGAGGAAATCTGTCCAAGGCGGTGATTCCTTCAAAATGAAGCCCTTTCGAAGCCGCAAAAATTGAAAGCCTATCCGCGGGTTTTGGAGCTCCAGAAGCTTGGGATTTGGGTTTGGCACCAGGTGGGAGGCCCCGGAAATGGGGGTTTTGTTTGGCTTACCTACCGACCCAGAACGGCCGGTTGGCCCACAAAAGGAGCGCGTTTTCTAGGGGCCAAGTTGTACGGGACCCGGGCGTCGCGCGCTTAGCCAGGCATAGCCGTCTGTTTGGCATCCAGAAAACTGCAGGGAGTTCAGGCGCCCCCCCCCCCTTCCCGGGGCGAAGTGAAGCCCACACATAGGTGTCCGTTTGAGGTTAGTTTGGCTAAACATGGATGGCACCGGGTTAGATGGGTTTTGTCCCTTGTGGGGGCATCTTTTTTCCAAAAGGCCACCTGTGCCCAGCAATGCCTGAATGCCCTCGAATCGTAGCAGTTCTAACTGACCCCAGCAAAGTGACATGGTCCAAATCCTCTAGATGGTGGCTTCACGAAAATGCAAGCCCACAAAACGAGTTTCGAGAAGAGATGCAAGCACTCCACTGCACCCAGATAGTTTCAGAAGCCAGGGAGTGCAGCGGCATAGCCATGCCCCAGTGGTTTGCTAGGGCAAATCGAGTACCTCTACGGGTGTGGTTCTTTGGTTGAAACCCTTTCCTGGTGGGAAGAAAACCGGCCATTTTGGGGTTCCCTATCGAACAACAAAACCACATAAAAGACCAACCCACAAAGATCCTATCAAAAGACCAACCCACCGTTCTGGGTGCAACACATCCCACGCTGCGAATGCACTCACTTGGCAAATGGCACCAATGTGCTAGCTGCCAGTCTCAGGAACCAGTCGCGTACCTTGCCGACATCCGCCCCCCGCGATTGAGATATCCGTGCTGGGCCTGTACGAGCGAGGAGGTGAACTTGCGGGTATCCGGCGGAAAGAATCGCGAAAGCCCTGCGCAAGAAGAAGAAGAGCAAGCGTATCTCTGCTTTACGCGTTGAAACGCTGTCCGCATCCCAAATGAAGCCAGCCACTACGTGTGAGCATAGGGTCCTTTGAAGGTAAGTTTCGTTAGAAATGTATGGGTTCCACTGGTTTGGTTCCATTTGCCAGGGCCATCCACCCTCCCTACCATGGCATCTGACAGAGGCTTTCCCTCCAAGAGGAATTTCTGTTCCAGGCACCCTCCAGTTGCTAGGGGGAGGGAGGGCATTTTTTCCCAAACACCCATGACCTCTGTAGCAATGGGTGGGGCTTGGCCAGGCTCACCAGCGCGGAGACGCAGCTGGCGGAGCGCCGGGGCTTTCTGGTGGCCATCCCCTGCTTCGACGTCCTGGGGGTGCGGAAGGGCGCATCGAATCGGGCCAGAGGCTTGCTCGAGACCCCTCGGTTTTTCATGAAAGCGCCGCGGTTAAATGATGTATACGACTGATCTGTTCCGAGCCGGCACAAAGATAAACCGCCCATTTTTTGGGACAAAAAGTAATGGGTCTGTTAAGATGTGCGGAAATTGGCCTTGTGGTTTCCCTTTCAACCAGCCTCACCAAGATGGGATTTTCGCGACATCCCTGAACTGGGTGCCTTCCTTTTGGTATCCCGTGGATTGCCAACGAAAAGGGGTTCCCCGAAAGCGTGTTTCCGATGTTGGCTGGTTTGGCGGTCAAACTGGGAAGGAGTGTTTCCCATTTACTCGGCACTTGCGGGGGTGACTTGACAATGGTAAAGGAATAGGATCACTTGAAATTGTCGCGGGATCCAGCTGCCGTAGGTAATTGACCAAAGTAAGCCATGTACAACCTGAAGGACAAAGATGCAGATACCTTCTAGAATGGCAATTGGAAGCACTGGGCCCTCGTACTTTTAGTATCCGCTCGGTCAAGCATTGCCACTGGGAAGGACATGGCCACGGGGGATTTGAGTTAGGCCTGTATATGTATATTTTATCATATCCATCGGGAGCACGATATTTTGACTGGCTCATATGGAATGGGCTTGGCTTGTTGCTTCACCCAATCCAAGGGCACCTTCCCTTTTTGGCTCGACCCCTTTTCAGCCTTCGATTCACGGGGTTGCCCAAAGCCCGCACCTGTTCTGGAGGGACACAGAGACAGCCCCGCCTTCCTCACCTTGGGGGATTGCTTTGCACAAATCGGGTGCGGGGCATTTCACTAGAAAACATGCATGTGTGTTTCCCTTTTTGTCCCTTTACCATGAACCAACTCTCTGCAGGAGGCAGCAAGCTCCAGCCCTTTTGATTCTAAATGCTCATGGATTTCGGTTGCCCCCTTTTGAATACCAAGCTTTGGCTCACATTAGTTTTGACCTACTGCATCCATACTTGAATTCAACCCCGCAAGTGACAAGGGTTGCTTTTCACGCCAGTGAGGGCACCAAAGACCAAGCGATTCTCCTTTTGCGTTCCTTTCAAGGGGTTTTCCTGCATTAAGTTCACTAGCCACGTGTTTGGTTTCCCTCAAGGTATCCTTTGAAGCCAGCGCATTTTTTGTGCGATTCAGCCGAATTCAGTGGCGATGGATTTTTTTTAGGCACTGTAGCCTCCCACCAGTTGACATGGAACCTGACTTTGGAGGGTTCCTTTAGAAGGAATGTGGTCCACGAAATCCCGTCAGGTTCCATGTCAATCGGCGGGAGGGGTAACTTGCTGGTGCGATAGGTAGGGATCTGGGAATGAAATCTGGGATTCCCTTACAGGAACCACCAGTCGGATTGATCTTAAATCGGGGTCACTCCAACTCATTCCCCTCATCTCTCGCACCAGCAAGCAAGGCCCAAGCCTGATTCATGTTAGTTTGGATGACGCGTCTTGGGGACCAGCAAGATCATTCAGCCTAGGTCCCCCAGTAGTGCACTTTCACCTCTCTTTTTTTTTTTTTCTGGGGGGGGGTTCCCCTACTAAACTAGACAACACCAGGAAAAATAGGGTACCGTCTTCTTCTAATTGAAACCTCTCCACAGGAGGACCTACTGTGGATGGACGAAATCCTGCACCACTTTGAAACCATGGTTGAAACCATTGTTTGCTGGTTTTTGCAGGAGGATCAACACTCCAGGGTTTCTGAACGGTGCAAAGTTTCGTCCATCCACAGTAGCAGCCAACTTCTCAGATCCGTCCGAAGGTGGCGGGCGCCGCTGACGCGCTGCCCAGGCTGCTGGAGGGTCCGGAGGTGGATCTGACGCCCGGAGCCGAGAGAGACGAGGGGTTGGGTTGGGCCTGGGGCTGCGGGGGCTGGGGGGTGCTACCTTCTTGGCACCGCCCGGCTGTTCAGCCATTTGGTTTGGTTGATGGGTTTGGCGAGATTTGTGTGGGTTTGACAAATATCGTATAAGTTTGAGCGAGGAAGCAAAGTAAGGGTCGGTTATCGAGGGGTTGCCGTTTTTTGCGCCATTTTGCTGACCATTCAAAAGGTGCGATAAATGCCACCCAAATCTGACAGCGCCATGGGACATGCTCGCTGCGGTTTTCAGTGAAACTTAGGCAAAGTGATTTGCTGCAATCGCCTCGATTGGACTGTTGCGCCGTCACACTTGCCAGAAATCAGATTCAAAAGATCCTTGGTCAGGGTTTTGACTAGATGTCCCTTTTCCCGGAAATGTGAAAGATTCCTCTCATCTGCGATGCTTGTGTTCGAAGGCAGGACAATCCGCTTTTAGACTGGGAACATCCGCTTTTTGACCGGCATATTCCGCTTTTTCGCGAAACACCCATGAGTGCAGAATTTGCAGAATTGTCCAAGATTCCATGATTGCGGACAAGTGCTCACCAATTTGAAAGCGCTCGCAGAAGTGAAAAAGGAGTGGTTTCCGCAGAAAAAAAGAAGGAAAACACACACACAATCACAATGGAGGTCCTAGGCATTTTGTTTCGTTGTTCTTGATTCGGACCGCTGAGCTTGTTTTGTTTCCCTCGGTTTTGCAGAAACCATGCAAAACGGGCCGTCCCAAAGCCAAAGCGCTGCCCCCGGACGTCCCTTGAAATGCAGCCAGTAAGAACAAACAGGCTTCCTTTTTCCCCAAAAGGCCCTTGGTTTATCGAGGCCCAAACTGTCAATGGCTCTAGGCGAGGTCTGTTCGAACTGGGGTTTGGGGCGTTGCAGACCCAGCTGCAAACCGAAGCGAAAAGACGAACTTGGCGGCAAGACCATCGTTCGTGGTGCCGAAGTCTTCCATAGGACTTGACCCCTTTTCCATCCCATTCAGCATCATTCGGCTCAAACAACAATCCATGGATCAATTTCCTTGGAATTCGGCCAACTCCCTGTAAGTTCTCCTCTAGCTCTGGGGCACTTCTTTCATGCACAGGGCCGTTGCATCGTTAGGCTCGGCATACTTGCAGCTCTCGCCTGCGAGGCGGGAGCTCTTGCCTGTGGGCCCAGGTCTGCATATCGCTTTGGCCACATCGAAGTCTGTGACCAAGAATGATGACCTGGAGTCTCCATGACCCTTTAAAAATGGTTGGTCATTACCCAAAATAAAGGGGCTATGGATCTCTTTTTAAGGGTCATGGAGACTGCAGGAAAGTGCCAACGAACTAGCAGCCTTTTACAGGTAATACATCTTTTGACAGTACTCGCAATGATCAAAATGGTAGTGCCAGAGGACAAATAGGGTTTTCCAAGGTAACTGCCTCCAGTTTTTACGAAGGGGCCGATATTATACCCTATGGTATTACTCCCGCAGCCCTTAGCTTATGGATAAATCAACCACTAGTTTAGGCTCCAGTAAGGGTAACAGTGTTGTCGCAGATCAGCATTCGAACCCCCGCCAAACACACAAACTAAGTCATCCAACTTATTCTTGTCTTGTTGAGGGTACTCTTTTCACGTTGGTTTGAAGGGAATCTAAAGTTAAACCCACTTGTTGACACATACCTTATTTCAAAACTTGGTCTCTATCTCTGTGGGCCTCTACGGTGCCAAGAAAGTCCTGCAATTATGATGTCTGATGTCATGTCTGGAGTTGTGTCTGAAATCATGTCTGAGATTATGTCCAAGCTCCCAGGTTGCAAGCCATTCTCTCACAAACTCAAGTGATGCAAGTTACAAATGAGACTGTCCACAAAAGGGAACCGCAATTTAAGGGGGACTCCATGTCACTACACCTGGGCTCTGCGAGGTCTTCGTGGCCTAAGCCTCCCAAACAGCTCTCCCTCTTCCCCAGCACACTGCGTGCTCTCTTTTTGCGAGTTGGCTCTGCCAAAACTTGCTCAGGCCTAGCAACCTACAACACAGCAGCGAAAGGCACAGTTCGGCAACATGTGTGTGTGTCACCATAGGGTGCCAGCCCTAAGTTCCAAGCTGTGAGTTAGTGCTTCAGCACATCAAGTATCAGCTGCAGTTCTCAAGCATCCATCATAAATCATGCCAAACCATGCCAAACCATGCCTTAACATCTCACCGCTGCAGTGCGCCTAGCGACAGTGTTGAGCTCTCAGACTCCCCCTCTGAGCTTGAGCTCGCGGAAGCAGGGGACTGCTCTGCCTGCTTGTCTGCCACTTTCGGCGAAGCTTCAGATTGGAGGAAAAGGGATGATGAGGAACTGGACAAGGAAGCCAAGGAAGCACTTGAGGCTGAGTCAGCATCAGAGCCCTCTTGATTGTCTGATGCCACCCACGTCCAGCCAACGCCATGGTTGCGCTGCAGGATCTGCCTTGCAAGAAAACTCACCCCCGCAAAAGAAGGAAAGAAAACAACAGACCTGTTACTCACAAAACTCTTCCGCCACTGCTTCCAACTGAACACAGCGTCCCAGACTGCCATTCTTTGTCCGAGCTGCTTCCCCTCTGGCCCCAGGCCAAGCGCAAACAGCAGAAGGCCCATCACCGCAGCCCCCGCCACCGAAGTGGTCATGCTGTTGCCTGCGCACGTGGCAATCAGAAACCATCATGCATGCGGCACGCGATTTGCTCATTAATCATCTGAGTCAGACAAGGCCAGTCGGGCAGCTAACCTCACACCTCAACAAGTAAGTCAGTAAGTCTCAATATGAGTGTCCGGAATCAGGGGTACACATCTCGTTGACAAGCGATCAATGGCTGATAAGTTGGAGTTGGGTCAACAGCTGTGCAACACAAAACACTTGGGCAGCAAGCACAAATCAATGACTCTTCCAGTTACTGCATGCGCAGCTGCAAGGAAACATTTTTTCTCCCATCAGGCTCCGGCAGCTGCGCTGCTATGGCGTCCGTGCTACTTCTTAGACTTCCTGCCACTCTTCTTGTCCTTGTTGTCTGGGCTCAAGTTGCGCTTTGAAGGCTTTGGCTCTGCCTCCTTCTTGCTTTTCTTCTCCTTCTTCTTGCCCTTGTTGTCACTCTTGCTCTCCTTGTCTTTTTTCTCCGGCTCCTTGCTGGTCGGCAGCAATTGCAAGAGCTTGCTTGGCAAGGCTTCCGTCCCGAAGCCAAAATCAGCTTTGGTTGCCGCAGTGAGTTCTTGCACTTCGTCAAAACTCACAGATTCACCAACGAGAGCTTGGTGAGTAAACATGATGGTCGTGGCAAGGAGGGAAGCGTCTGCACAGCTGGAAGTGATCTTCGCATTTCCTTGTTCGGCTGCCGTGAGGAGCTTCTTCAAATCGTCGCACTGCGTCACGTGCTTCGCCAAATCCCCCAACGCACTGCAGGGAGGCTGCAACGCAGATTGCCTGGCGTCTCTGAAACGCTCCAGATCCTGCTTCACATGTTCCTCTCCCTCCTCTTTGAAGACCCATTCCACTGGCTGCAGCTGCCACTTTTGCACAGCCTCAGTCACAGCCTCATATTTCTGCATAAAGGCGCTGATCGGTGGCAGGAAGCTCTTTTCTGTGACCTCAATCGCCCTCCCGAGCAGCTTGATGAAGTTTGTCTTGTAGGTCACGCACTGGTCCAAGCAGCCGTGTAGCACTTCATCGTTCTGCACCTTTTGCATCAGAGCGCTGTTGGTGGCGCTGTGAGCTGATTCGAAGAGAGGCAACTTGGAAATGAAGAAGGCCAAGTCATCGCCCCCGCTGTCCTGGATGGACTTGATCTCCGTGGGCCAATTGCCTAGACAGCACAGGCGAGCAACCGTGGCCCTGCAAGCTACAAGGCCACCTTAGAATTAGAAATTAGAAGTTAGAAGCCTCAGTCGTGAATCTAGTGTCAATCCGTCCAATTGGTTGCAGCTTGTTCCATGAGCTGTTGCCTGCGCCGCTTGGAAAGCGCAGGGCAAAAAAAAGGTACCGGTACAACCAACAGAAACACCCTGAATCCTGATCATCCTGCCATCATTCATTCATACTGCATACTTGCTGTGCAAAATGTTTCCCTAAGACCTAAGATACTAGCAAACAAAATCACAAATAACAAGGCCATCGACCCTGCCCCTCCCTCGCCAACCGCTTGGTGCAACCGAAGAGCTTGCCAGCTGAAGGGCGTGGGCAATGGGCTGAAGCCTTTTAGGTAGGCAGACCGTCTCGAAGTTGCTGATGTCCCCACAAGCGATCATATGCAGCACCTTCGCACTGCACACCAGCTGCACGCGTTCCACCATGGAGACCAAACTGTCACAAGCTGCGGGGAGGGCTGCGAAATCATCCTTGCTCACCTTCTCGTCCTGAACCGTGGCGCGAAAGCGCACCAAGGATTTGGAGCCGAGCACATCTAACGTGTACTTGCCCAGCTCCTCAATCGCCCCTGCCAAGTTGTCACCCTTGGGCTCTGTCAACATTTCTGTGCGGCACACCCAATCCACAATTGTTGCAGCTGCCTGCTGCGTGAGCCGGTCAGACTTCGCAGTGGGCACGTGCTGCATGACAAAGCCTGAACACAGGCACGGAGCAACTGCTTGCGTGGGTTCAATGTGGGGATCTGGGCCTGTCTTGCTGCCCCTACTATCCCCCGATCAACACCCGTCAAAACCAACAACGAGCATATAAAAACTTGCAGACGGGAGTTCGCCGTGACACTGGGCTTTTGAAGTCCAACGAAACGGGTTTGGAAAGCATGCAGCAAGTTGGCGCAAGACACTCTTTGTCAACAATCTGGGCCGAGAGTCAGTTTGCAATCCCAATCTGATAGTTACCAATCAACCTCACTACCAATGTCACCTGCGCTCAAAACAAGTGCCAAAAGGTGCCAAGCCACACTTCAGCTGAAATGCTTTGTCCATGAGGGAGGCCAAGTCCGGCAGTGGTGCGGGGGCGATGTTGCTAAATTCCTCAGCACACTCTGTCAAGGCCTTCGAGTCGTCAAGCCCTTCCAAATGCGCGTCCGCAAGCTGGGTCACCTCGTCCAGAGCCGTGCTGAAATCCGGGCACACAACTGTGTCCACCCAGCCATGTAGCTTCTCCAGGCATGATATGAGCTCCTGTGCCACCCGCTCTGCTCCTGCAACAGAATGGGCAGCTTTCAGCTCACCCATGAGGACAGGCAGCTGCTGCAGTGAGGACATCTGCTTCGCAATGGGACAATCTTCAGCCTCCAAGTCGGGGCTCTCCTCTATTTCGAGCAGTGTGTTGATGCCCTTGATCATGTCCTGCGCCTGCTGCACACTCAGCCCCGCAGACGCCTGTAGCTTTTGCTGCGCCAGCACCTTCTGCCATAGCGACCTGCGCCAGGTGTCTTGCCGAATTGGGGGGGTGTCTTCACCCATAACAGGCACCCGATCACAACCAAATCACACAGTGTTGCTGACGTAAGTTATAGACTATAGACTCGACTCTCTAGACTATGGATTAATATTCCAAGATTCTGGCAAGTCGCAGTGCCACATGTCACGAGGCAAGTCTCGTACAAAGCAAAGTAAGTTGTTGTTTGGAGGCGTGGAAAAATACACCAACTGTGGTGGAGGATGTCTAGATGTGTCTAGTCTGGCTAGCAAATCAAAGAAATAAAATGACACTGTGACAATGGGGCTAAGGCTAGGCTAGACATGTCTACTAAAACTGAGAGCAATCATAGGGAGTGCCAACCTGCGCAAACACACTATCTCTCGTTGTTGTTGTTGTTGTTGTTGTCATGGAGCGATTGGAAGAATCATTACAAATCATTACCAGCTTCTTTGCCTCTGATCTGTGATCCAATCTTCATTTAAAACGGTTTAGTCTAGTGCTCCGCCCTGATCAACTGCATCCTGCTGGCAGGCGCCAAATGTTTGTAACGCGCGCGTCGTGTCAAGTAAATTGGGAGAGCCAAGCGCAGGTTGGGAAAGTGCAAGAGTTCCCTGCCTCCACTCTTGGCTTGCAGACATCGGGAGAACCACCCTTTGGCTGAAGGAAGCTTTGGCCACAGAACACAGGTACGCCACATCCACGTCACCATCGCCGCTGCCTAGCTTCTGCACCTCCATGCAAGCAAAAATCCGCTGCGTGTCCTGCATGACTACGCTGGTGTAGCC